GATAACGTCAAAAGAATCTTGAATGAATCGTCAAGTTTAATAATCGTTTGATGATTTTTCTGCTTATGTCCATTTCTGTCAATGTAGATTAACTTTAATCTCGGTTCTCTTTATTCTGATCATTAGAACTAAAAAAAGATAAAAAGTCAAATAAGTCAAAATTAATTTGTGTTGATAGAAATTCGACAATCAAGTGCATCAAGAAATCATTAGAGATAATAAAAATCGTGTTAAGGTGACAAAATGCTGAATAATTAGAGAAATTTAAAAGGTATACCAAAATTTGTTCAAAATGATCAACTAAATAAATTTTCATTAACTGAAACTTTTATTAAACGGATAATACTACTACTGAGTTATAGAATTATATAATATTGGAAAGGATTTTATGTAGAGATTACTAGAATACAATCATACGATGACACAAGTGGAAGTATGATTCTATGATTCAGTAAAATGTTTAATGAAAATCTATTTAGTTGACTATTTTGGATCAATTTTGATATACTTAAACCAATTTGCTCATAATTTCATTTTATAGAAATAACATATTAGAAAAAAAATTTTTTTAGTAGAAGCATCAGACATTAAAAAACGTAACGATATAAGCAAGTAAATTATGTTGTTCCTGGACTAATATACTCCTTTAGAAGAACAAATGAGGAGAATGGACAGAAAATATACTCTCTCGCGCCGGAAAGCCTTCGGGATTTTTGCTTTTGATCGCCGGTATTATTTTGGTATTTGGCCGTGTTATTTATCGGCCTGTCCATTGGCGATCCGATTCGTGGTTGGATCGTCGCCAAAATGGCAGCTTACGGCTTTCCGTCGGTTGTATTACGATTCCTAGAAGCGCGATCCGACGAGCGACGAATATTCATCCGCTAATACCGTCACGATACCGACGATTGAGTCGTTCAAAGCTCGCCATTAGTTCGAGGAAACAAATCGGCCGGCTCGCCAAAATCTACTGACTGTCAAAACTTTGTTTTCGCTACCATCTTTTAAGCGCGTTGTAAATAATCATATAAAATAAGGAATAAGAATAAATTTCTTAAAATTGGAAAATATTAAAATTACAAATATTATTTACTTATGTGATTTCTTTTGCTGTTTGAAATAAAATTCAATTCATAATTTTTTATATCTAATAATTCCCATATGCGCAAAAATAAAAATTTTTACCCAACCCTTAAATGCCTCACTACAGAAACAACATAATTTGCTTGCTTATGTACCGTTACTTTCTTTAACGTTTAATGTTTCTATTAAAAAAATTTTTGTTGTAATATGTTATTTGTATAAAAGTTTATGAGCTTAAATTGGAAAAAAGTTACGAGTTTAAATTGGATTACATATATATTTTTTTTATAGAAATAATATAAAAATTCAAATTGCTTGTAAAAGCATTGAAAACAAAAAGCCAAAGGTATGCCAAAGGTATTTAAGGATTGATCGTAAATTTGCGCTGTAAATTATGTACATACGATAATATAATTATATATTCATAATTAAAATATTTTAAACTTTGCAGATCGCTTAAAATGAATTTCAATCGACCAAATCGATCGAGACCAAAGACTGGCAAACAAAGACGTGACCCTGTTTCTTCCTCGAAGCCTCCCTCGCGACTAAATATTCTCTAGGCGTGGCGCGACGTCGAACGAAATGCTAAATCACGGACGTGGCGAGAGGAAGCAAGGCGGAGGCTCACGAGAAAGTTAGAGAAACGTCGGAATTTATATAGACATCCTCTAAAGAGCTTTCGTCCGTCACAACAAACACGTCGCGGCGCATCCAACGCGGCTATCTATCATTCGCGCTTCCGAATAAGTGAGCCGCATTAATTTACATCGCGAAGCCATCGATATCAATTCAGTCAGAGAAAAGAACATCAGTCTAAACTCTATAACTGGATCACTGTGGATTTAGATCCATATTCATAGATCGATCCGCGATTAATCTTTATTTCAGACGAATCAAGTTAGAATCAAAGTTTGAACAATTAAATTTATGGATTTATTTAATTATATACTGAGGTAATATTTTTTGTAATAAATAATTATTTACAGGTTTTAAGATGTTTATCAGAATCAGATTATTAAGATCTTTTTAGTTTCGGAGATGTGCTTGTGAGCATCATACTATTAAATTGATTGTCAATTTAATTTGTGATATTACTATTCCTATTCTGTTAGAAATTGCGTTTTAAGACTGAAAATTAAATTCGGCACATAGTTTGCAGGACTGAATATACATAAATATTCAGATTCACATCGAATTACTTAAGCATTAAAAATGCAACTTGCTCGTTTAGCCTTTTATTTCCTATTTGTTGTGGATTTATTTAATTATGATTTGAGAAGCGGTTTTGAAATAAAAGATTAATTTAAATCTATTTAAAATTAGATTCTCAGGTTGACTATAAATACGGTGGCCGATATACGCAAAATAGAACAAGAAAAATTCTGCCGAAGCAAGGAAACGTCTCCTGGAAGCGAGTTCTCGCGATTCGCATCTTTGGCGGCATCGGAGAAAATATTTTTAAAAAAGCCGTTCTACTCTCGATTTCTTTTGCCCGCTTCGCTCTCTGCTTCCTTAGTCAGGAATGTACTTTTTAGGCTGCGAGGGTTCTACCTATTTTTGGCTGCGTCGTAATTCTGATCGCTGATTTTTCATCCTCGCTCCGGCTTCCGAGTTGCAAGGGCTTGAAAAATATCGATACATCACATCCCCGATGTAACATTGCGTCCCGCGATTATTTTTGGCCGACGAAATATATTACTTTTATATAATTTATTTATTATTATTTATTATTATTATTTTTAGAAAAATATATTCGCTATTCGATGATATCTTATTAAATCCTTCAAATATCTTATACACACACACA